GCAAAGAAGAAGAGTTGTTCAGCAGCTATATTTGGAAATGCTTCCTCAAAAGAAAAGAGAAATCTCAGTCAACATAGGTACAGTGATAGCATTAATTTGGTTAGTATAGAATTAAGTAATCGATCACCAGTTTGTGCTGGTAGATAAATTTTCTGCATTTTAACTTGTAATTAAATGTGGTGCTGTTCAGCAATGCAAAAACCTACAGTAACCCAGGCAGAAAAAGAGCTGGTTGTCTTTAACAAGGGAGTGCAGAGGGGACACGTACCTTCTACCCTCATTTCCAAGGGTCAGTCACAGAGAAGGCTGACACACCGCCCCCACCCAGAAGATTAATGGTATCTTGGTGCACTGTGGATACAAATAAGTACCTGAGACATGTCTACCTGACCACAGTCTAAGCTAATCTTGACACAGTTCTGGAAAATATTTCTATTTATTTTGAATTGTTTTTACAAATCTTTTAGTGTGTTGGAAGGACATCTCACATTATGAAGCCTCCACTCTGTGGATTACAGATCTTTTAGTTTTTTTAGACCAATACCATTAATTGTACTTATTTATTAATTAAGCACCCTGACAAACTGCTGCAAATAAAGCTGCTGATGATTCAGTAGCTTGATAGGAGGGTCAGCTGAGGATTACAGTCTATAAATAGCCTTTATGAAAAGATAAATTTCTTTGTCAATTAATTGGCCTGGAGAATCTTGTCATTTCAATCCATCATTGTTGAGTTTTATTTTACTGCAATATTTTGAAATGAAGCAAAAAAGGAAGAGTGTCTAGTAAATGCTGTTGGCAAGCTCTCTGTTACTTAACAGCTTCTTGAAGTTCTAAATTTCTTAGTTTTTCATCTTAATTAACACTCTTAATTGACCTTTCATGCTCTCTAACTTCTCCCAGTAAAGAATTAAAAAATAGGTTTCTAAATTCTTTTCTGCAATCAGATTGACGTGAAATTGCTTGTCTACAGATTGTCTCCACCTTAGCAAACTTTTTTTTTTTCATTTTTATTTTTTTTACTACTGAAGTCCCCACTGGAAATCACAGACCATTGAACCGTAGAGCTAGAATTGATTGTGCACATAAAAAATCCTGGAACAATTGAACAAAGAAAAGAACTTCCTGGAATTCTATGGTAAGATCAGAACTCAGGTGACAATAAAACTTTTACCTGTTTTGAACTCACCTGCCATTCATCATTAAGAAAATATTTGATATTCCTTCATTTTCCCCTGATGAGAGAAGGAACCAGTTTTTCCTTCATTTAGGCTCCATCAAAGCATGGTTGCAGATGTCAAAGAAAATGAATTTCAGTCATCAGTGTTTTTATGGGGTACCCTCTGTCCATCTTCTTTATATCAATTTCTTATGCTTTTTTTGGTGTAATATTGGAAAGCTAAGGCTAGAGACCCCTTTCTAATCGCTTTTATTTTTAATTAATTTTTAATTAAATATTTAAGTATCACATATTACAATTCTAGCAATCCTAAATGTGTTTTTTACCATTTCTTTAGAAAAATGTAGAAGGCAAGTCTCCTTTTTAAGGTATTGTGAGAAACTATAGTCAGTTCTTTCTACTGGAGTTTATGGAAAGCATTACTGAAAATGCAAGTTCTATGTTTTGAGACTTGAAGCTTGCAAATAACTATCAATTTTGGAGCTTACTTTTATATTTTGAGACTAAATAATGACATTTTAAGCACTTAAACCTTCACTAAGAGCAAGGTAGGCAAGCACATACTTTGTTTCAAGCATATTATTTAAGTTGGTCTTTTCACGTGTTTAATATTAAGCATATGCCTATGTACTTTTCTGAAATGCTGGATGGTATTTAGCAGAATTAATTACATCCCAATAACTAACATTTCTTTAAGAATCCTAATAATGTAGGAAGTATGCAAAATAAGCTTCCATATTCCAGATAAACAGACAAAGTAACTTTTTGTGAGCATTGCCTTTTTATTGCTGCATCTAGCTGTAATTCGTGTCTTGAAAGCAAAACCATCTTCCTTTTAAATGCATTTTTTGAAAAATAGTGCATTATTTTGTCCTGAGCTGTTGAGACAATTTTGTGCCTAAATCTGGTGCCCCGTTAATTTTAAAGTATAAGAAAAAGTCACTGTGAGCCATAGGAACAATTTTGGATTTGCTGCACACACATATATCAAAACAGATTTGCCTATAGTAGTTCTATGGATGATGTTTAACAAAATCCTGTTTTCCCTATGTTGGGATTGTTGTCCTCCTTCATTTACATTGTACAGAAATATAAAATTATGCTGCACATAAACGGAGGATTCTTTTCAGTGTGTAAAATCTGAAATTTGAATGCAATTACAGTAACAAGAGGAACTCTTTCTAATGAATCTCAAAAACCCCTGGCCAAAAAACATGTAAAACTCTCCTGTAGAGAAAGAAATTGAGTGCATGGTGTTAGCATAATAGCAAGGGCTGAGACATTGCTTTGTACTCCAGTTTTATGGGATGATATTTTAAAAGGTATTCAGAGATTTATTACTTTTTAGGGACAGCTAAAATTGTTTTCACATTTTTAATATTGCTTTCATAAGAATGTTGAAAGAATGTTTACGGTATCAGATTGAATTCTAAGGTGTTACCAAATCATACAGAATCCCCACTGCTTAAGTAAATTCCATTGTATCCCTGTGTATCTTCAGAGGAAAAAATCAGAGGAATGTAAGTGCTTTGTTTTAAAGTGTATAATCTGTATTCTGTCATGTACTTCATCTCCCAGAGAAGGTTCTGGGAACTCACTCTGCTGTTTTTATTTATCCTGCCAGTGCAGGATATAGATGAGAGGACTAAGGTCCAATGGTGTTAAAACAAGACATGAAATATTGATTAATTCTTTTTTAAAATTCCTTTTTCCTCCTGAGTATAGCAAATTTCAGATACTGCTCTCAATATAGTACTCTCCAATGAACCTCTATTGTCGGAAGGGTCCTGATAAACCCTTACTGTTCTTATAAATGGTTATTATGATTCTAAATGGCTTTAAAAGCTCAAGGCTAGTGTTCTTCTGGTGCAAGAGCAGGAAGCAAGTTAGAAGCAATGCAGCTTTTTATCATGGCAGAATGTTACTCTGAAAAAACATGAGTCGGATTGGGAATTCTCTTTGCTAGACAGTAGCAGAACATTCTGTTTGAAGAAATGAAGATCCTAACGGGGCAGATAAACAGGTGTACAGTTTCCTGGCTATAAAGGTGTCAGGTAAAGAAGCACAATCATAGTTGGTGTCCACCAAACTACTTTGAGTGTTCTTGAGTACAGTAAAAACTCTGGCAGTTGAGGTAATTGTTTTTCATTTAAAAAAAATAAGATTTGTTTAAACTGGAGTGTAGTGGAGTTTAGAAATGTAAAGCTCTTGGAGCTTTTCTTCAAGCCCTAATAAAAGGTACTCATCAGAGAAGGAATATGAATCTCAGTTCTGTATGTGTCAGGTAAATGTCATTACAAAGGTTGTACAACTACTTTTTCACCCGTCATCTTCATCAGTATTTAGTCAAACTTCAACAAGAAAGAGCAAGGAAATAACACTGAATCTGAGCCAAAAGTCACTGATTGGCAGATTTACCTGGGAGGCAGGAGATGTGGTATGTTCTCGCTCTAAACCAGGAAGAAACAGCGGAGGTTGGTTCTTCTGTCTTGCAGGAAAATTGGGTATTATAGGCTGGACAAGTTGCTATATGATAGGGTTTTTTCCACATGAAAGCTTTAATCCTATCCCAAGATGAAGGTGTTTTCAGAAGAGTTTGTTGATGGGGATAACTGATTTGCACACAGGCCTGCTTGGGAGTTCTTTTGCAGCAAAACTTAACTGTGTGCAAACCTTAGGCTGCTTTAACTTATGATGGAGAATAGACTGCTCACTGCTGTACCCAAAAGCTAAGACCTAAAAGATGAGGCATAAAGCTAAAGTATCCCCTCCTCTCACTCACACCCAGCTTTCTCAAGCTAAGCCAAAGCTGGGGCTCTATTAAGAGGGTTTTATGATTTTTGTGGTATCTTTCTTTGGAAATTGGACAAGTTTTATCATTTTAAGGCATTTGTTTTCATTGATGTCAGTCAAACTGAAAGCAGTATGTGCACAAAACTGGACTTCAACCAGTTTGTAAGCAGTGAGGGCTAAGTGTGTTCTTGTTACTTGTGAGATTTGACAGCAGTAAGTCTTGCTTGCCCAGGTTATATGGGTAGCTCTGTTGACTCCCAATCCTCCATTGGTAACCTGTGCATGAGTAGAGTGAACAGGATCTGGTCCGTAATAAACAATGCATATGTTTGCTCACATAGCCAGTGTGTGAGCCAAAGCCTCACACATGTGATTTGTTCTCAGTCATGCAGGTAATACTTTTGGACTCATTTAATGCAACTAGTTATTTGAGCAAAGGTTATCAATCTGGGCACTCTCCTTTTGTGCTTTTCTCTCTGCTACGCTATCTTAAAGAATGATAACAGAAACTTATGTAAAGGGATATACACAGAATTTTGTTTTTCAAAGCCTTGTATTAGATGGTTTTCTACCAAAATGTCCTTAAAAATTTCATTACTGTGTGAATTTTCAACCTGAGGATAGCCCACTGCAGATTCAGATATTGCTTGTGGAAGAGAATGTTACATACTCACATGCACACAGCACAAACTCTGCCAGTAGTTTGCTTTCTGGTGAACTTTATCTCATTTTACATACTCTACTAATTGCTATCTTTCAGATGTAAAAATAAATTATTTTCTGTCTTATGGGAGATGCATTGTTTGACTTCAGATATTTAATGTGGTATTTTTTCTGTGGACAATAGCTTGAAGCCTCAAGCTGGGAAGAATGAGAGCATGCTTATAAATAATTCAAAATAATTGTATGGTTTTGACAGATTGTCAAGTTGCTTAATGCCTTTAGTCCCAGGTAATAGATTATATTTCTTTGATAAAGTGTTGGTAATTTCTCATTGCAATTTGTTTTGTGTGTTGTATTTTTACAGAGTCCAATCAGGTTCATATCTCAGTACGGGTTGGTTTACCTTAATTTTGGCTATGGATGCCTGCTATGGAATTCACGTCTATGGGATGATAAATGACACCTACTGCAAGTAAGATCACAGGAAATTATTTTCATGCATATACAATTCTGATGTCTTGTCAAAATTTCACAATTGATTTTAACATCATCAATCCAAAAAATCGATCAGGTAGTCATTTCCCAGTGTTTTGCATTGATGTGACACTATTGTCAGCATATTTAGTCCTGATATGGCATTCACTGTTGATAAACAAAAACATTTACAAAATCCAACATCAGATGTCATAAGGAACTATTTTTAATCAAAGATCTTTTGAATTAGCTGGTAACAAAGTATGTTCATACTCTTCTGACAAAATGTACTTACTTATACTGTTAAAATAAATCTATAGAGGGAATACTAATCTGTTAGTTCTCTGAATGCCAAATACACCTGGAAGTGAAAGAAACTGATTAGCCCAGGATAGCTACCTGAAATTACATTTCACCACCACTGAGCAACCTACTTGAACTTTCTAGGTTATATATGGCTTGTTTTGAGTAGTAGGCGGTTTCTGATTAGATAATAAAACAAGTCCTGCGAGCTCTATCACAGTAAACGGACATAAATTCTAACCAACTACTGTTGGTGACCTTACAGTGACAATGGATTAATCCTATTGTCTGATGTATAACTCTAAACACAATTTCTAAAAGTCCAAGTTAAATGCTTTAATCTACAATATATGGTAGAAAAATATAACGTGAAACTGTTCCCGTTCAGAAAAGCAGGAAATGTCATGAACAATGTATGATACTAGTACAAATCTACTCTTCTGTACCTAGGTTGGTTCAATTCTTGCATGTAACCAGCCCAATGGGTCCTAAGCTCCTGGAGTAAAGTCTTTGTGGAGACCTTCACTCCACATTCTGTGTTACTCCAGTATGGGATTCATTCCTGGCAGATCCTAAAAAAAAAGACGTTGAGTCACAGCTGTTTAATTAGGGTATCTTAACATTAGCCACTGACTTTTTAGAACTTGCAGATCTCACTGACTGAGTCATCCAGATGGAATGAGCATATGTTGTTCTTTGTTTATGAAAACACACTAGGAGCCCTCAGATGAGGGGTCGCAGGACAGAAGTTGTCCTCACAGAGCTCAGCCAAGCTGGCATTGCGTAGCCCTGATGTAAAACCAGTAAACAGCATGACAGCACCTCGGTCTGTTGGCAGCAGAGAAGGATGGGTTTCCTTAAAGCTGCAATTCTGACTGCATTACCCTCTTATAACGAATATTACTCTTGTAACTGCCTTATTCAGTCAGTTCAAGAGCCCATTTCAGGAGTTGGGACTATCCAATGAGAAGGATTTGCTTAGAGATGCAGCCTTAGGGACTGAGGTCTCCCAGGTTAGACAAAATGTGCAGTACCCATAAAAGCCAGCCCGTCAGCTTCTTACTGGCTGATAAGATCAGTGTATGTTGAGAGATACACTTAGCTTCATTTTCTATAGGAAAAATCATACAAATCATGCTGTAATGAAAACCCTTGTACGGTTTAACAAAGGAGCTCAGGTGCTGACACATGGAAAGGATTTCAGATAAATCAGGTGCAGTATATATTCATGTTTTTCTTGGAAATGATACTGAAGTGTATCTTTTTTTTCTCTAGGTCAGAAGGCTTTCGTAAAGTTCCCTACCACTATTATGAGCCAGGAAGAGATGAGTGTGAGGAATACTTTCTACATGAAAATGCTCCGTATGGAGGCCATAGGTTTATCACAGAAAAGAAAGTATTTGCTAAATGGGCCAAGAAGCACACAATAATATTTACACACCCTAACTGGACAGTGTCTTGATACTCGTTTTCTTAACTCTTCCTTAACAGCATATTACAAAAATGTCTCGGTTTACAATAATTTTGCTTACATCTGGCTGACCTTTCTCAGCCTAGGTAACACTAAACTGAAAGCTAGAAGATGAAGAGGGTTATGGTTCAGCTGTTAAGCAAAATTAATCATCTGTGGAAGGCAGACACATTGTTTGTCATTTCTTAGGGTTTTACTCCACACAATGCACTTTATACTTAACTGGATTTTACTTCAAGACAGTAGCATTTAAAGACAGATGAGATTTTCTGTATGTACATGTGCACACAGAGAACATGATGGTCCTTTAAAACTTGTTCATCACCTTAGTTAATTAAAATTAGTACTTGTAGCTCACTTGCAGTAGACCTCCAAGGTCCATAAGTGAGTAAATTTTAAAAAACACCTGAATACATGGATACCTGTGAGCACTTGCATATATGGTAAAATAAGACATGAACTAAACACGGTTTTTGAACTGCACACAACCCTCACATGAGAAGACATGTTTTACTCAAGGCTCCCAATTAATTCATAACTTATGAAATGCAGCTTCCTTCCACCCTGGTCAGGCTGCACCAACTCGGATGATGTGTTTTGTACTTTTTGAGGCTGTTCTCCCACAGTTTAGCTCCAGCAGCATGGCACTTAGCAAAGACTGTGTTTTGCAGCCCATGCTGAACCTTTGGCTGTTGTACCAAGCCTGCTGTCAGTACCCAAGCAGGTTAGTGTAAAGTTGTCTCATGAACATCTGCATTTACTCCAGTTGTGCCTTTGAGTTGCTCCGGCATCCAAATACCAGTATTTTGACAGTATTTCCTGTGCAGCCTTCATAATTTATTTTAAATCTCCAGTGTCTCCATCTTTAAAAACAAGGATGCATACCTATCTACCTCACAAGGGAGTTGTGAGGATTAATTTAAGTCCATCAAGCACTTTCCTGATTAAGAATGCTACAGAGCATTTATTCTTAACACAAAAACAATGGTACCTGTCGTTTGTTCTTGTCCATTGGGTATTTGAAGAAAGTGACAGCATGTCTGGATCTGATGGCAAATTGTTCTGTGCATCCGCTTTCCTACTGAGGATAATCTTTAATACTGAGTTCTCTCAACTTGCATTGCTTCAGATGGAGTTGAAAGAACTCACCATCTCTCAGTATTATCTGCACATCAAGAAGCAGTTCAAGAATTTTAAAATATACTCATCTTTAGCTGAAATACAAATTTCCAAGCTTCTCTCATGGAAAGTTTTCAACTGCAGCAGACTCATTTGTAATATGACCATAATTCAACTACACATGTGAGTTTTATTTAAACTGTATTTAAATGAATGCTTTAAGTTCAGAATGTGTCCTATGAATATTTTAACATCTGGAATGTCAGATTCAACACTGTTAATAGCCAATACTGTGAACACTTGAAAGAATGAGGTGTGCAACATGACACACAGTGTTTACTCACACTACTTAAACATGAACCAACAGGAAACTTTGTATGCTTTTGTAAATCATGAAAAGGGGAAAGTAAACAGCTATTTTTACATGTAAGTATTTGTATACTGACTATTTCCTATTGTATATTTGTATATATAAATCTATATTTTATATGTTCATGGCATATATATTCTCTCAGGAGCAGCTGCAACTCTTAGGATGGGGAGGAAATCTCTTCACCAGTGTTCCTCCTCCTGATCATTGGTTTCTTGTTCCTGTTGGTAGGTGGTGCCAGCATATCATCTCTCTTGCTCTTTCTATTTTCTATTGTAAATGCAGCTTTCTGATTTTATTTTTACTATAGCTTAGCTTTCGCTGCTTACTTTAGTGCTGTAAGTGTTCATGCCAGTTGTAAGACAAAGGCTGGGGCCATATTTATGATCCCTGATAAACATCCATATGCAAATACAGGCTGTGTCCCAGACTTCCTGCATGACTTGATGTTTCACCTTCCTGTTCAGAAAAGGAGAACAATAATATTTTCCTACTCCCTGTCTTGACTGACTTTCCTGTAAGCTCTTGAGATAGATATTCTCATTTGCAGTGTATTTGTATAATGCCTTGCAGAAGAGGTGCCCAAAATGTCTGAAGGCTGAGGCAATGCTACAATATACAAATAATTTAAAGTGTCTGCTTCTTGTCACTGGAGTTTAAAATCAATTGTAGGCTAATATAGCATAGGGTCACAGATGGATGGAGAGTTGCAGTAGCGAAAGATAGTGGGCTAGATTTGTCACCATGTGCATATGCATCTTTTCCGTTCAGATGGATGGGTGGATAGATGGAGAGCTAATAAAAATTGTAATGCAGGATTTGAAGAATGCAGGACACACGCAACTAGGTAGAGGGCACATACTGTACAGGGCAGCCTGGAAAAGCCTGTAGGAAGTGGGAAGAGGAGCTGAAAAGGAGAACATCAGTCAAACTGAACTTCTATTCAGAAGGTCTTTGGATTAATAGAAAGTTCCTATAAAACTGCTGCACATGGAAGTGCAGTTGGGCTGGGCAGACTTCCGTGAGAAGCGTCCTCATGAAGCAGTCTTTTTTCCCAACGAGCACAGCATAAGGATTCTGCCTGAGTTGCATTCACATGCAAGGCAGTTTTTAAGCCTGAGAAAGTTTTTAAGATAATTAAGACTTGCCAAATTGCCATAAAGCTGTTGTAAAATATGTTCTTCATAGTGAAGCTCCTTGTAGAGTGCTTGCATGGTGTATGAAACAATATCTCATGCAAAGGCTAGCTAAGAAAAATACAGCCCTAAGAACAGCTAAATGTACAGCAAAATTGAGAACATCATTAAAGTGCAGTTGTCACAGAGCAAAGTAAAAGTGTTGCACTCTGCTTGGATTTGCAGGAAGAGCAGATCCACTTTTAGAAACATTGCAGCAGGCTTCATCCACACTAGAGTAAATGAATATCAGTTCCCTTATCTATATGAGCCTGTCTTTAGCATAAACTAAACACATATTTGCATTATTTTTATTATATGAGTAAGGAACTGTAACCGATGTGTTAAAGATGATTCTACAAAAAAATGACTTCATCGTCGTCTGTTAAAAATCAGCACTGTGGTAGTGAAGAAAAAATCTCAGTACTTGGCTGTGTAGTAAGAGACCTTGATGATTCACCTTCTGAGAGCAGTTAAGGCACCAGCTGAGAATAATTTATTAATTCTTTAAAATAAAGCCTGCTACAGTTTACCTGAATGTAATCAGATCCTAATTGAGTATTCATTCAAGCAGTCCTATTTTAATCAACTACTCATGTGTATAAAACAATCAGGGAGTTTACATGAGGTTTTCAAACTATATCTTCACATTGCTGCTAATAGAGGGATACTCACAAATAATTTGGCGGGTTTTTTGCCATCAGTTAGCTAAGTAGTCACCAAATGTTTTCTTTTATAATTTAGTTTTCTAAAATACACTTTTTGAAGGAAAAAAAATAAGCATTTTTTGTTTGGCTTGCTGTAGCCTTGGTTTGAATGAACATTTAAATTTTAATACACTTCATGTTTTATGTTGCATTACCTTCTGATTTTTTTTTTTTTTCAAGGAAAAAAAGTTTTAAATAGGAGCAGAAATTTTCCTAGGGAAAAAAAAAAATCTTTTCCAATGGTTAATTACTAATTCATAAGTAATTAGCTAAATAACATAAAAGCTGTTTTTTGTGCTTCCAAACAGATACAGCAGACATGATCCCAACCACCTCATCTCCCCTAGATGTCCAGATCACATCCCTCTGCTTATACCAAGGCCTCTTCACAGAAAGAAAAAAGTAGTCTATGTATCCAGCCAAATTCCCTTTCCATCTGGGCTGGGAGGCTCCATCTGCAGACTGCTTGTATCAGTTACATCAGTAAGTGGGAAGGATTGAGGAAGAGTTCTACTTAGGAGCAGATGGTATTCCAACTTCTAAAAAATGCCCCTAAAGTGCTTTAGGAGAGGAGTACCCGTTGATCTCTCCTGGAAATACTTCTCCAAAGTATTCTGTTTCTTCAAATGCCTTTAGCTCCTTGTATAGAGCTATTGTGTACTCTCTCCTGTAAGAATTACCAGCAAGGGGAAATCATGCCCTTTACAGGAAAAAGTAGAGGCAAATTCTGTGTTGTTAAAAATTTCTGTATAAACAACACCAAGGATTAAGAAGTCAGCCTGATACAAATTATATGAAGACTCAATGATTTAGGAATCACTGAGGACTCAGTTCAAAACTAATGGAAATCACTTTGGCAAGTTGATGAATACAGCACCCATCCCAGTAAAATCTTTGCACTCCTGGGTACAAAGGTAAATGGTGTTTTGTCTGAGAAGTACCAAGTGCACATAATGCATTGCATAGCTAATAAAGAGGAGCTCATCCAGCACTTGGAGGGCTGATGCAGACGATCTTTGTTCACCTGCCTAGGGGATGGACAAAAGTAGGACCCCCACACAAAGATAGCTGGCAGCAGAGCACAGATGCTCAACCAGAGAATATGTCCAGGTAAGTAAGAATTACATAAGTAATCACTCATTAATTATAACTGGATGGTGCCCATATTAAGTAGAAAATCAGAAGCACTTTATATTCTGACGCTTCTGTTTTGCTGACCTTTTTATTCTACATGTATCTCAGTAATAGCATATGTCTTTAGTTGTGTTCAAGCAAGTCTGGGGTTTGTTTGTGATGAACTTTAGGGCACCCACACGAGTCAAACTCTGCAATAGTGCCAAAAGATCATGCAGGAGCTGTCTGTGGGCATTGTGATGCACTGTGTACAACAGAGAGTCTTGTATTTACTAAAAAAGGTCTGTTTTTCCTGACTAGGCATAGTTCTTTTGATGAGAAAGTGTTAAATTTTCAGCAGATGTGTCTCATTCTGTTCCTTCTTTCCCGAGAGGATGCAGAGGAATGTGACTTAACCATGGGGGAGTGAAGAATAATATGGTAAATAACCAACCACCAGATTCATATATATTTTTCTGGCTATTGCTGTGATGGATAGCTAATGAC